CTGTTTCTGTATTAATTAGAAACATGGCCTTTTCTCCATGTGGATGCCACCTTTGGATCTCACCAATGTTTCCATTATATTGCGTCTGACCCAATTCACACAGTCCCGTTCCAGCAAGGTCACCCATTCCTCCAGCCTTTCAACCCTCACTCTGGTGACGTCATGAGCAGCAAAACGTCATCTCCAGGCTTTCGATTCCAGAGGCCACACAAAACCATCCCTGCCCACGCTGGTCCTTTCTGTAGATTGAGCTGTGCAAGTTCACAGCGCAGCAGGTCCTCGCTGTACCACACATCCAAACCCACCGCGCGGGGGCAAGGGTAGGCTAGCTGGGAACGCACTCCAAACCCTGGGGCTGTCAAAGGTCTAGGGATGGCTACAGTGGTTCTCGTTCTAGCCATGATGGTCTGATTTCTTTTCTAGGACTCTTTCAATCATGTGCAGCATAGGCACACAGAAACTGGAGAGAGCTAGAAAGACACCGCTTCTTGCTACCTGCGTGGAAGAAAGTGCTTTAGTTTGCTTTGGGGGTTTGTTTCGGGTTAAATTCAAATACTACTGTCACTCAGTGAATTTTCTCAGCCTTTTGAAAATCTTACCTACAAATACCCTAATGAGTTTAGCTCTCTCAAAGTTTAAGAGTTTGCTTAGAGAGGTGCGGTGGGAGAACCAACTTTCCGTACAGCTCACAGCATATTCTAGGGAATAAACCACCTGGGAAAACAGATGCAAATGCATCCCTGGATTTGACTGTGCTCCCTATTTTTCTCCCAGTAAGACTGTATCTTCTTCAGCTGCCAACTTCAATGTCCACAAAGATGCATGCCTGTTCCTTAAAGGATGAATGACCCAGACATTATCTGACCTGTCTTAAAATTACATTAGCTACCGTGTGGTTTAGTGATTTCCATCTGGGATTACTGTAAACTTGAGGAATCCGTGAAAATTAAGAAAATTTAAGAACATCAGATAATTTTTCATCATGAATACACGAGGACAACTTCTGAATTACAGGTCCAGTCCAGTTATATGAGGGATGCGGGGGGTGGGGAGGAATCACATTTAGCGTTTCACTTTCTAGTTTTCTCCATGTACTTGGTCTACAAGAGCGGAGGAAGGGCTTAATGAGAGGTGTAGTTAGGATTTTGGTATTTAGACATACGGTGGACCTCATAAATGCAGAGCTTTGGTATGCAAGAAGTCTGCCTATTCAAGTAGTTTATGATTTTACTAGTGCTCATATTTCAGCTTTGCAATTAGCCTGAACATCTGGCCAAATAAAACAGTAATTAAAAGTATGAGACTGGCAAGTCAAATACAGTCACACGCATCCTCTTCCACCAACAGAGACCAGCTAGGAGTGTTTAAGAAAGTATTACGGGATATGAGCGGACACTTTTTCTGGAAGTTTTCATTTTATCTTTGAGGGCTGAAAAATAAGTTTTGGTGAATACAGAGAACACTTACTGTGTGTGGTCGGATTTGATAAGCTGGCTGGGAGGCGAGGAGGGTGTTAAATAGAGGCAATTCTGCTGCGCTGCCCTGTATGCATACATATCCTTTTTATGAGATTCCACTACAACAGTTTTATTTCAGGGCAGGGATTCCATCTTTTTTTTTTTTTTTCTTTTTTTTTTTTTTTAAATTTACCTTTGCTTTTCCTTCAATAAATTCAGGAAGGCTTTGTTGTGCTCTGATACGCCCAAAATAAAATAAGCTACAACTGACAATTGTTATACTCTCAAAGTGTAGTACTTTAGCTACACATATTTTATTAGACAATATCTGATCTCATTCCCTATTTACTTCTCCTCTGAGTCACACTTTGCTGTTCCAGAGAAGCAGCTGCATTCCT